CCCTAACTAGGGTATTTATAATTTGTGAACCTTACGCTTTCTTTTCAATAAGCTAATAATTCATATTGTATGTAGTTTGTAATCCTCGTCTAGTTAGTTGTCCGTGGTGTTTATAAGGTGAAACCTAGTAATAAGGCTTTGGACCACAATTAATGTATGTGACTCTTCCATTGTTATGTTTCATTACAAGAAAACTACCATTTATACAATTAATGATAATGATTAAATTTTCCATTTAGTTGTCCTTGGTGTTCATAAGGTGAAATTTTATAGTTGTGTGGTTCTAATTATTGGAACGATGTGATACCAAGAAAACATTATTGAAACGATATTGACGATAACATTCTTATATAGTAGACAATAAAATGTTATTATTAACCACGTATAGTATAGTATAATAGATAATCACCACAAATGCTTATAATTAGTGAGCCCATAATTATTAATATTATCATCTTAATACAATGATTACCTTCAAGTTTTGGACTCTAATTAAATCTTTAATTGAATCCAACTAATGCGGAAGTCATGGGTTGTCTTCTTTCTCCTTCTAAGAACATCAATTCTTTTTCTTTATTTTTGCCAAACAAGAACATCAGTTTATGTTTTCTTTTTTAATCGAAATATATATGTACAGTAACACTAATCGGATTGAACCATAAAAACAAAAAATGTGCATGTAAATATTAGTGATCATCACAACCTTGCAAGAACATTTTTTCCGACATCTTCTCTTGCTTTATCTCAAGTTTCTTTCCGATCCAAATTTTGAAACAACTATAGACCAAATGGGCAAATCAAAATATAGTTGAAACCCTAATTCTCTCTAGACGACATCTTTTTCTCAACGGCGGCTGTTTTAATAATTTTGAATGGTGACCGGCGGCTTCCACATCGGTGTCGCCAGTCTCTTCTTTTGTTTTTTCTAATATTTTGAGGTGTTTTTTGGCTTTATTTATGTGGTTGTAGAGAGCGGTTGATGTAGTGGTCGGTGTGAAGTGAGACATTGTTCGTTTTTCCGAGTTGTGGTCTGTTAATTGAAAGAAGAGGTGCCGGTATCCATAGATTAACAGAGCCAGTGGCTAGCACTTCTTTTTACCGATTTGTCAGTTTCAGATTCGCTTTTTGGGGGTTTTGATTGATGCAATTACGATATTCAGGCGGATTTAATCTTCAAGATGCTTTTCGACAGAAGAAAACGATAAAGCATATTTCTCGCTATTTGATTTATTTTCTCCCACATTATTTTGGTTTATGTTTTTAATTATGATCTACATGTGTGTTTTCGTTTTATTTTACAATTTTGTTGGTTGTTGATTCGATACCATAACTCTCATTATGCATGAATCTGGTTTGGTTCTTTGTAATCTTTTGATACCAATTGGTAAATGGTAATGTTGATTGAATCTTTGGAATAAAATATTTTTCAGTGTTAAAAATAATTCTCGTGGTTTCTCTTCTCTATATTCCATTAACTAGTTTTTTACGGTCAAATTAGTTTTTGACTATTATTCGTATAAGTGTATTTAGTACAATAATAAAAACATAAGGGTTCATTATATATGTTTAATAAACATAAACATGGGTCAATTTGGAAGTTTTTGTATCCTTATTTATTTAGATCGTGTTTTGCCCTTTGAGATGACTATTCGGACGTTTTACGAAAAGAATTGTTATTTTGATTTATGGAAAAAGAATTTTAAAAAATATATAATATTCGCTAAGAATGTTTTAACCAATGTAACTTTTGATCTCCGTTTTTTTTTGGTTGAATGCAATAAAACCAACTTTTCGACCAAAA